GACCACATATTAAAAAAAAAGACTTGAGAATAAAACACCCACAGCTATCAGTACACTGGGGATTTACGGGTTAAACTATAAAAAACTAACTGTGAATATACAGTATGTGTCTGACATAGTTTCCTTTTAAAAAGTGTCAAACATCTACAGCAACAAATTGATTTCACCATGATTGTTCTATAGCTGATAATTTACCATGAAACAATTCATTTACAAGGTTATTTACCTATGAAAAACAAGGCATTTTGAATAAACCAAAAGTCACCATGGAGTAAACTTTCTAAGGAAAGCTGAGAAGGTGCATTCTTCAAAAGTCAAAACCCACTTTCAGTCCTCTGTCTGTCTAAACAAACACAAACCATTTCTCTGAACGTGCTCAGGTACGGACTGACGAGCTACAGATCAAGATCGCTTTATGAGATTCCTTTAAGTCAAAATATTAAGAAAGAAGGAACGGCTCAAGACTTTTGCACAACACTGTGATTTGAAACACTGTGAAAGCTAAACAAACAGGAGGTAAACTGATCTATCAAATAAAAAAAAACTTCAAGACTTGTGTTCAAATGATATCTGAGCATAAATACTGTCCCTTCAATAATCCAACCTAATTAGCTGCTCAAGACATTTTGTTGTTTTGAGCGGAACTATGAGAATAAGAGAAAAAACAAAAAAACAAGCATGACAGTGAGTCAGACATACCACCACAAGATCATAAGAAGCAACAACGAGCAGGAAATCACATAAAACAGAGTGAACCGTGTCACAGATCAATACCCACTCACGTCACAGAAGGGGGGCAAAACCTCAAGGCTTGATTTCAGTTTGCAGCTTTCCTGTTTTACATCTGACGCGATCAAATTCAAGGCTGCAAAGTTACAGTAAGGGTAACAGTAAGTGTACAGTAAGTACACTACTCTGACAGCACTAACAAAAATAATATGTTTAGACAAATAACTGGCATGACACGTCTGTTAATGTGACTTTTAAAAAAAACAGGAAAACTGCCCATTGCTGAGCTGGTTTAAAGCCTCTGATTATCAAACTTTCAGTCGCCTCATGGAGGGCAGGTATCTGAATGTTTATTTTTAACTGGGAAGAATTTAATTTTGTACATCTACAACACACTGCTCAGGTTAGTGAAACAACAGCTTAAACTTATTGAGAATTTTAGATTTTTTTTTGCTAAAATACTTAATACAGCAGTACCTGGTGTTACGTGACACCTACAAGTACTAGGCTATGCTATGAAGTGACTCATTACTCTGTACGTACAGGTATAGAACTAGTAAGTACTGAGTGTACTCAGGTACACATCAGGTCATATTATGTATTGCTAAAAGTGTTTTCTAATACAAGTTGTGGAGCCCTTGAATGTTTGTTTAGCAGTTTTAAATAATTATTTACAGTTCTAACTACAAATAATGTCATTTTTATCAAAGTAAAGTACATTTATACCTAGTCAAGTTTATTTGTATAGAACTTTTCAGCAACAAGGCAGTTCAAAGTGCTTTACATCATAAAAACATAATACAGTCACCAATTACGAAAACAAGCAATAAACATTATGTTTTGACAAAAACATCATCAAAATCATCAAACAAATACAAATCTGATAAACTAATCAAAGGCAACTCTAAACAGGGTTTTATCTCCGATTTAAAGGAACTCAGTGTTTCAGCCGTTTTGCTGTTTCTGGATGTTCTTCCATATTTGCAGTGAATAGAAACTGAATGCTGCTTCACCAGGTTTGGTTCTGGGGATTCAGAGTAGACTAGAGCCAGAACACCTGAGTGGTGTGGAAGGTTGATACAATAACAACAGATCTTTAATGTGTGCTGAGCCATTCAGTGATTTACAAACTAACACAAGTATTTTAAAGTCTCTTCTCTGAGCTACAGGGAGCCAGTGTAAGACGTGCTCTACTTTCCTGGTTTTAGTGGAAACGTGAGCAGCGGTGTTCTGGATCAGCTGCGGCTGTCTGATAGAATTCTTCAGGCAGAACTCTGAAGACACTGTTGCAGTATTCAGTGAGACTAAAGATAAATGCCTGGATGAGTGTTTGTAGATCTTGCTGGGGCATCCTTTAATCCTGGAAATGTCTACACCCAGATTTTGGACCTGATCAGTGGTTTCTAGCTGTAACTGATGCCGCGTGTTGACTCTGGATCATTCCTCTTTATAGGTCCAAAGAGGACTGTTTTGTTTTGGTTCAGCTGCAGAAAGTTATGGCACATCCACACATCAATTTGTTCTAAGCATATGTTCAGTGCTTGGGTTCAGAGTCACCTGGTGACGTTGTAATGTAGAGCTGTGTATCATCTGAGTAATTAAGGTAGCTAATCTTATTTATTGTTGTCACCTGAGTTAGCAGGAGCACGTAGATATTAAATAGGAGGGGGCCCATGATTGAACTTTGGGGTACCCCACATGTGACTTCTGCCCATTCCAATGAGAAGTCATCTATTGACACAAATAAATCTCTGTTCTTTACGTACGATTCGAACCAGTTAAGTACTGGACCAGAGAGTCGAACACAGCTCTCCAGTCGCTTCAATATCAGGGTCAATGCTGCACTGAGGTCCAACAGAACCATCACTGTGGTTCTTCCAGTCTGCATTTATGTGGGTGTCATTGAAACCTTTGACGATGGCAGTCTCAGTACTGTGGTGAGCACGAAAACTAGACTAAAAGATGCCACAGCGGTTGGTCATTAACTATCAATTAGGGTTAGAATAAGAGCTAATTAACTTTTTAAAGTCTATACAAAATGCTGATTTTGGCTAATTGACTCAAGTCAATACTAAAATATCTCCAACTCATTAAATTTAACAGATATTAAGTTAAAACCCGGTGTGGTCATTGCTGACATAGTTTTAGTCATTCCTGTAGACTATTGGCTTAGGAACGTTAGGTCAAAAGACCATTTCATAGTTTTCTGAGCAAATGACATCTTGGGCAGGGAGACCTTTTTGTTGTTACAAATGCACAAAACGGCTAAGCTTTTGTAACTTTCAAATAGTACATTTACATCTTTATACAGTCGATTTGCTCTAAACTGATGTTAAACTTTCCTTTAGTTCAGTTCAGTTTATTCATTTCTTTAAAAAACAAAATAAATTCAACATACAAAAATACAAATCGTAAATTAAATGAAAGGTAGCAGAAGAAGAAAAAATCTTATATCTGCACCTTTTTCTCAAATAAATAAATTAAATCAAAAATAACCTTTACTCTTAATTAAAATTCTTCTTAAACGTTCCTTTAGGATTATAGGTGAAGTTTTTCATAACTATCCTTAAGTTATAAATCTTCACATTTATCCCAGCTTACCTGTGACCCAGAAGAGTTTAGGATATGTACTCCTATGAAATAGTCTATTACTTTTTCAGCATTTCAATAAAATATTTTAAGTAGTTTTAAAAAATTGCTAAAAAAAACAAAAAAAACCCACAAATCGTTACAACAGTCTGCCTTTTTGACCATACAACTAAATCCCTTATTTAACATATTTAACATAAACTTTATTGTAGAAAATATATTTTCAGGAGGTTGGACCTACCTTGCTGTCAGCAGAGATGATTGTTTGGATTATAGTTTTCTGTAAAAACAGAAATGTAGCTGAACAGAAATGCTTTATAATGCATTTAAATATCATCATAATGACTTTTTGTCAATGTTTCTACACCTAAACTCTCTAGAAACACGCTGACCTGAGACCAGCTGTGATGAACTCGACCATAAATCTTCACAGACTTGGTTTACAGCTTCAGTCGCCTCCACGGAGCTTCTAACCCGTCTGGAGCTGTGTGTGTTTCACTCTCCTCATCCTGGACGTCTTCAGACAACTACTTCCTCAATCATCTGTAAATGTACTCAGTGAGGCAGCGTGAGAAGTGACGCTGACTTCTTCCTATGACTGCGATGACTTCAAAGTAATTCTTACACCGCTCATTTAGAAACCAAAACAATAAAAATAATGACTTAAGAGTGTTTTATTTCTTCCTCTTAATACGAGGCAACACTACATTCAAATAATAAGACAGCTACTTTCACACTTTCCATTTAAACGATACAAAATAGACTGCAAACATCCTTTGTAAATTAAATAAGCAGAGGCTTTTGGTAAATATACTAAAAAAATTATAATAAAATGCACAGTAAGTCACATCTTTTAAGCCCAAAATATCCAGCTGTCCCTTTCCTATCATACACGTCTATTAAATGAGATTAATACAGAACTTAACACACAAAAACAACTTAAAAATGTTCCCCAAACTCTGTCTTTTTTTTTCTTTAAATACAAACGATCCAGGCACAAGGAAGAAAGTCATAGGGCTGTAACTATTTCCTCTTTACAGCAGATATTTTTAGACTAAAGCTTCTCCCATCTGCACATTGTCCTTTAGAAAAAAAAAAAGAGATTATTATTAGGTATAGATCTATGGCTGCATATATTATTATCTCTTAAGTGCTTCATTACCTCAAGAGTACCACTGTGCAAGAGGTTGAGGTTTATTTTAAGGTGGTTACTTCCTGTTTGTGCAGGCTTCATGACTTATTTTTAACTGACTGGTCTTCAATGTGTCTTGAAAGGCCTTTGGTTTGGTTTGAGTTCACGTCTTGTCTCCCTCCAGTAGTTTTTAATGTTTATGGAAAAGAAAACGCTCTTTAGGAGCTTAATAGGTGCAAAAAACGACTAAATGTTTGAGATTTTTCGTGTAATCTGAGCACCAAGAAAACTTCAGTACATCATTTATCTTTCTTTTCCCAAAAACTGGATGTTATGGATGCAACAAAGTTTTTTTTTTGCTTTAAATAGAAATAAAAATAAAGTTTAAGGTGCAGATCTTTAAATTCTACTGGAGGCTTTAATATGGAGAAAACAGCAGTGGTGATTATAGTGATTATAAGCAGTTTGTCATTCTGCTGAAGTGAAATGATGCCAAGATGATTATTTTTAACTTAATTTCATCTGTACACTTTAGAATACACAACAACTGCATATACATGAGAATAAACTGTGCACAGGTCTTCAAACTGCAGCCTCAACACTCCATTAGAGACATTATTTATGATTTAAGAATAGATGTGTAACATGTAGAGTCAAAGTTATACTTATGTATGGCTGCATGTCGAGGTTCTTTCCAAATTAAAAATAAAAATAGAAAGTGACAATCTACCAGTTCTTAAACTAGCAAACCCCTCCAGTTCGGAGGGCAGAGGTCAAGCAGTGGCTTCGTCTTCCTTCTTGTCTTTCTTGCCCTCCCCCTCTCCTTCACCCGTCTCACTGACGTCCCGTCGACGTTTGCGGTTGCGTGCGCTCTCCTTGGACACCGGCAGGGACTCCATACCTAAAACCTTGTGGATCTGGCGGAAAGCGAGCAGCCGCAGGGCGTGCTGCAACCAGAGAAAACACAACATGTGGAGCTTTATGTTGCTGAAGTTTACAGGGCTGATAGTGGAAAACAATTATTACATCTTTCTGCCTGTGTGCTACTGTTCAGCTAACTTTAGCATCCTGTGTGCAGTCTCTCTCTCTCTCTCTCTCTCTCTCTCATTTATTTTGAGCACCGCTCCAACTTCTTCTGGAGGATCTGAATCAAAGTTTTGCCAATACCCAAATCCCGCCCCCACCTAATTTCTGATTGGTTAGTGGGCCTCTGTTAGGTCTAGAGAAATGTCTCTGGCCGGACGAGCCTGAATTTTTTAATGTTTGGGGGGGGGGGGGGGGCAACATTCCAGCACAGGGAGTAGTATCAGCCCTGAGTTTAGCAGTAAAAAGCAACATTGTTTGGTTACCTGTGCACTGGCAGTTATATCCTCCCGAGCTTGAAGAGTCATGCTCTCCAAAGCATCAGTTTGCTCCTTCTCACACGGGTCCATCAAACCTGGTCCGTCTGTGAAAAGCAAGAAACAACCAGAGAATAAATGTTTTGCAGTAAAAGAATTTGAAGACAGAGAACCTCACATTATTTACATTTAGGATATTTATTTTTCTCCAACAGGAAGTTTAACTATTTAAAGTGGAGATACTTAACTTTTTAATAACCTAAATAAATTAACAAATAAATAAATGCTAGCTAACTCGTTTTCATTTCTTTAACTGCAGACTGTATTTTTTCCTGTCGCTAGTCTAGCAAATTTCTTTAAAAAAATTTTTCATTTCATTTAGTTTTCATTTATTCATTTCATTAAAACAAAACAAAAAATGTATATACGGTACAATAAAAAAAGAAAATATATAAAAAAGAAAAATTTGAAAAACAATATATGTGTTTCAAATTTCATTAGCTACAAAAGATATTTGACTTTATAACTAGCTAACCAGGCAGCAGTGATAAATAAACACTAGGTGTTAGCTGATAGTTTGTATATCACTGATGATTTAAACAGTTTTGTGGAGCTTGTGGTGATTTTAGCACATTAGCAGCAGGTCCTGCTGGACAGCGCTGAGTCGCCTTGAAACTTCTGGTTTGATAAAAATAAAAATATGCACTGTTTTTCTGCTTTTTATACTTGGTGAATTTATGTTTTGATTGAAAAATCTTTTTATATTAAATTGATGTGGAGAATAAAATGAAAATAGAAAATGTTTTTAAAACAAAACAAAAAAAAGTACAGGGAGCAGCATTGTGAAACTCTCGCAGGAAAATCTGCACGATCACGTTTGTTTGCATATCAGTCCACTTCATTATTTTTGTGAGGGTTTTGTGACCTGGCAGCAGAATGCCTGATGAGATGCACTCCAGGACACGGCGCATGGCCTCCCCTGGACTGAGCGGACCTGAGGAGCTGCTGATCACCTTCTCCACCAGCAGCTCCATCGCCTGGTACCAAACACAAAGAGGAAAACAAACACAAAGTTCAAATAAGTCACAGCAAATTCAAGTCTGCACTTATGGTTTCATCTATGTACATCTGATACTGATTTATAAATAATTATGTCGTCGTACAGAAAAATAAAGAAACAAACAGAAAAAGTGCATCATAATATTCAAAGTATAAACATTAAATCACCAGACAGCTGAAAGGACGTACCCAGTCAGGCATTTTCCCCCAAGTGGTCACACGTTGACACAAATCCCTCAGCACTCGGATGATGATCACACAGGACTGCAATCCATTCGCTCGAGCCTAGAGACCAAAAACAAGTCAAGAAACGTTAAAACCTGGACACAGTCTTATGGGAGTGAGTGATTTTCCCTTCATCCATATATTTTTTTCTACATCTCTATATTTATTTAACAAATTATCTGTTCTTAGAGTTACACAGGTGCATTTCTGTTTCTGCTACATCTTCTTTATGACATAAAAAAGAGCTGTCCATTTCGTTTTACCTGAAACCATTTAGCGTGACGAAGAGCAGCCAGGTAATCCAAACATTTCTTCTTATTCAAAAGATCAGGGGGATCTTTCTCAGACACATCTGCAAAAAAATAAAACACACAACTTACAGTCGAGCTGAAGGAAAGCCCACATGATGATTGTAATACTTTTTGTTTTAAATGTGGAGTGACTTTCATCTGGGTTTAGTGATTTTACTGTGGAACTCCTTGTCCTTATCCCTCAGGTAATAATGAAAATAATAGAAATAATGAGGGGAAGACAGGCCTCAAATGAGGTAAAACACCATGTTTCAAATAAATATTTTATCTGAATGAAAATAGTTAAAAAAAAAAGCACAAACGTGTCATTTGGAGAGTGTTGGAGGTAGATGTAAAAAAGAAGGAAATCCAAGGCAATCAGAGAAAAGTACGATTTTTAACTTTAAATAAAACCTGAGTTTTTCACATCCGAATAAGATTGTAATTTCCTTTTCTCAAACATTTTGACTTGTTTAATACAGATGGAAAATTAATCATTTCCCTTAGTTTCAGTTCATTCTCATTAACAAGTAGAAACAAAAACAAATGTGCATTTACTGACAGACGAGACAAAATCTCTGCTTTGAGAAAGCCTGTTTGATTCTTACAGCATATACACTGATCAGCCAAAACTTTAAAAACAGGTGATAAGGGTTAACTTGTAGCTCGCGAAGCTGAGTGAAGCTGACCCCTCCCAAAAAATGAACCACAGGAAAATAAAATGCAAATTGGATGAGTGGTTAGTGCATCGTTTGTGCGCGTTTGTGCACTTGAAATTGTCGTTTGTGCTGCTATGGTTTTTTTTATATATTAAAGATTATTTGAAAGGGTCATTCAGTGGTCACATCGCCCCAAAATGAACCAAAAATTAACCAAACTAGTTGAATTTTGTAGTGCTTTGTTTGAGCAGGTTTGTGCCGTTGAAACAATTGTTTGTGCTGCTATAATTTATTAGATATTACACGTTATAATTTGGGACGATCACGTGACTTGGCCTGAATTGTTTACAACGTCACAGACACGTGATCGTCCGAAATTATAACGTGTAATATCTAATAAATTTCAGCAGCACAAACAATTGTTTCAACGGCACAAACCTGCTCAAACAAAGCACTACAAAATTCAACTAGTTTGGTTAATTTTTGGTTCATTTTGGATCAAGCGGGCGGGATGGTGACCCCTGAATGAACCTTACAAATAATCATTAATATATATAAAAAAAACCATAGCAGCACAAACGACAATCTCAAGTGCACAAACGAAGCACAAACCACTCAGAATATCTGCATTTTATTTTTCTGTGGTTCATTTTTTGGGAGGGGTCAGCTTCACTCAGCTGTAGCTCGAGGTTAAAATGTAATATTCTGCTGATGAACGTCCCTCAGACACAAAACATCCTGGCTCAACTTTAGACCCACAAAACAGCAGCAGCAGAGACCTGCAGCCCCCAACTGTTTTTGGGTCATAACCATTGGTATCAGGTCAAATCAATAAGAGCAACAGTAACTATATTCATTAAGTTATTTTTTATCCATTTTTAAGTGAACTAACCTCATTCTTCTGTAACAACCTAAGACAAAAAATGTTAGTGGTTATTTTTTAAATACAATTCATTCTGAAAATCTTTTCAAGACCCCACCTTGATGTTTTATTGTCCTAAACAGCCAATCGTTGCATCTTACAAACGCTTAAAAAAAGGAAAAAAGTAATTTATCCTGCATCCAAATTTCTCATCTCCCAGCACAACCAAACATCCCCCAGATCCACACATATCAAGACCCATGGAGCCACTTTTTGTTTGAATGCCTCGACTGTAAAGAGCAGTTTTGGAGGAATAAAGGAAAGCTCTAAAACACCTGGAGGGTGCAGTTAAATTGGCTGATCAGTGTATTTCCTATTACTCCTAAAACATCTATATTATCCCTGAAAGAGTATTAGAAATCTTGTTTGTTTGTTTTTTGTTGTTCAAGAACAAACGTTTTTCCCATCTGTAACGCTGGAGTTAAACTCTTAGAAAATAATGTTATTTTTATGTTTTTCAAAGTAAGACTTTTTTTTCCATTAAGTGTGAACTGAGTGAGTGTCGTGGATTTCTTCTTTTTACATTTGACCTTGTGCAACAAGCTGACAAAAATGGAGCAATTTTTGACAATTTTTAACTCAAACATTTGTGTTTTTATTTAATGATAAACTAATCGTGTATAGAGTTATAGAAAGGTTTCTCTTTCTATGAAATGACTTTTTATTTTACTGCCAGATTGTTTTCTTTGTCTTTAAAAGATTGTTGTCATTGACATCATCCTTATTACAAATATTACATCAGCTCACACTTCCAGGTTCTAAAGAAGTGAGAGGAGTTTTCTTACAGAAGAAAAACAAAGCCTCTGTACTGAAGTCTACACTTTCATACCACTTCAAATCAAAACCCCACGTTTATCACATTTTCTATAATAATTCAGCCCTCTAATGACAGCGCACAGAGGGGTTAATTATTATGAAAAGTTTAATAAACATGGATGAATTCTTCTCTTCTAAGTGGTATGTGTTTCATTGTGGTCTTCATACGATGAGGGTCTGCTGATTCACCCATCAACAAACCCAAGCAAAATTTTAAAAGATGAAATCGAAAAGACAACAGTGACAGAAAACATTTCTATGTTTTCCAAATGAGGGATAAAAATAGACCATTAAAATACTGACAGATACTGCAGGAGTGGTTGCAACACAATGATCTACAGTTCATCGATGAGGAAGTCGTGACGCTGGAGTCACTTGGGTGGTCTAAATATTGCATCATGCAGATCATTGTGAAGCCACAAAAAAACTAAATAAATAAAAAATAAATAAAACAAAACACTGTCATCATTTGAAGTATTTTCACTAATTCCTGGGCATTATCTGAACAAATCTTTTGTATTATTAAAAGGTTCCTGAAAGCTTGACTTGAGCGTGTGTTCATGAAATAAACACACACCCGAGTGGCACAGAAAGGTCGGAGAGCCCGGCTTTTTGATTCCCATTGTTGTGGAGAGAAAACAAAGAAAAGAGGACATAATGTAGCTGTAAACAACAGTGTACATATATTAAAAAAAAAAAGATTGGGACAAACAAATGTGTAATTTATCTGCCAAGGGTTAAAGAAAGTATATCTTTAATGAGGGCTTTATGAAAGTCCCACCAAGGGTTTTTGTGTGAACCTAAATCAGCCTAAATTTGGTGCTGGCTGGTGAAAGAGTAGAGCGAGGGATAAAGAATATGACTACAATGGGTGTGTTACATAAGACCACAAACATTTGGTTGTCTGGTACTGAAAGCTTTGGCTTCTCTAACCTTTCTCAGCCGCTTTTCCTCCTGCCTGCTTGTCCTTCTCAGCAGCAGGGTCCTCCCTCATCAGGGGCGAGGTGAGAGAAATGGTCACCTGCATTTTGGGCTCCTGGCTTGAAATAATCACGATGTTGGCCTCCTCGGGGTGAGCCTGCACCTCATACTGATCTTCAGAAAATGTCTGCCGGTTAAAAGGACACTTGGGATTACTCACTACAGAGGAGGAAGGGGTGTAAAATAGCCGTGTTTGGTAACTCTTTGTAAAGGTCGTGAGGATTGGTTGCTTTAATAAAAAAGATCAATGGCACTTCCAACAATGGGTTGTAGAGAAATGCTTCAATAATTAAAAAGGGGCAAGTAGTGACGTGTCATCTCACTCTGTAGGACTCAGGTGTCGTAACCAGGCAGTAAATCTAAAGATCAGTGAAAAGCACCTTGAATGAAACGTACGGCTACAGCAGGAGGAACAAACAGTGAGGACATAAAACACAACCTTGTAGCCTTACACTTTATAACTGGTGGAAAACAAAATAAAAAAAATGTAGTTTTCAGTGCAGCAGAGGTACAGTTATCACAAGATGTTTTTATCTCAGGTGCAAAGGTTCAACATCTCGTCACAGCAGTGAAAGAAAAACAGACTAAACGGGGTGTCAAACTCACGTCCTCGAGGGCCGCTATCTGGCATGTTCTCCTTGTTTCTCTGCTCCAACACACACAAACATAAAAACACACCTGCTTCAGTGATTCAATTAGCTCTTTAAATTATGTAGAAGACAGTTCATCATTAATTCATGTAAATCAGGTGTTTGAGCAGCGAAACAAGGACACATGCAGAATTGAGGTCCTGGAGGACCAGAGTTCGACACCTCATCTGTAGCAGGTATTAAACTGAATGTCCTCAGAAGACTGTGATACTAAGAGTTAATTTGTTTTTTTATTAATTTTTTTATTTTAACAGTTCGTTTATTGTACTTATTAATACACTGTGCAGTAAAGGAGTGCAGTTCTGTGTATCACCTAAACGTAAAAGCTTGTATTGCTTTTTGTTTTCCTGAATCCATGTTTTCAATTACAGCATGTAAAATGTAGTAAATAAAAAACTTTTATTTTCAGATCTATAAATAAATTAATCATAATTAAAGTGATGATTTTAAAGATTAAAATACATATAAATACACATTATGTTTGTTAATTAGGCTACATTCACACTGCAGGTGATTTTGTTGTCCATACTGAATTTTTAATGACGTCTGAATGCAACAGTCTGATGTTTTCAAATCCAATCCAGATCTTTTTCTATTTGTGGCACAAAATCTGACACCTATCCAGTGTTTTTCAAAGTGACCTCAGTCTGAATGGCTATGGTTTGGCTTTCACATCAGTTTAAAGCGTGGAACTCCACTCGTCTTCAGCTACAGAACAGAAGTCCAGTTGCTTCATCTCTTTAACATTTTCTAGACGTGTAATTTTCTGCATGACTGAGCTGAAAATTTACACAGAGTTTTCACCAACATATGAAACTAACACTGGTGCACCACCATGTTGGTTTGTATCGATACGAGCATGACGGGATCGTAACTTGAGTTTGATTTTACTTTTAGTATTTCACATCTGTTTCTGAAGTACAATTCTGCACCTGAATAAGCAGGAAGCAGCAAAGTAAAACATAAACAGACGAAACATTTAGGCTGTGTCTCAATTCATGGGGTGCAGCCGACGACGGCCACAGTCTACGAGGGCCGTGGGCTGCCCATTCTCATTCCAGCCGTCTGAACACGGCTGAAACGAGACGAGCTACCCTACGGAAGACATACGTTTGTATGACCATGCGCTGCCTCGCTTGAGTTGTTTTTTGTTTTTTTGTTTTTTAAAAAAGGTATAACATCACAAAACTAGGTTTTAATAGAAAAACGTTACAAGTAAATAAATAAAAAGCTTTAATAATTTGGGTTTAGCTCCAGTATCAGCACTTGTAACTGCATTTTATTAAACATCTCATTAAAGTTTCTTCAGCTAAGTTGTTTAACTTACATTTTTCGGTCCGTGATAAATTTCCAAACTCAGTCATTAGAAAAAGATTAAAAAAAACACTGCCATACAATTAAAAAAAAACCCTCACCATCTTTGTTTTTCTGTTTAATTTGCTGACAAGTGAATGAATTCTGGGATACCGTCAGCCGCGTAGGATACTCAGACGCAGCCGGTGTTTTCGGGGTTTTGTCAGCCGCATTTGTCAGTTGCATGAGTAGGCGCCTACGAATTGGGACAGCCTACGGAGCAGGGCAGTGACGTCAGCTGCAACCCTGATTTGTGTTCAGAATCGATCTACCCACGCTAACACGTGAAGCATCCAGATTTACTTGTGAACAGTATGTTGAGTGTGACGTCACATCCAGGTCACTACTGGATCATGGGACTGTTCACGATGGAGTCTGATGGGCGTTGCATTTAAATTATAACGTAAACAAGCAACAAAATAAAACATCGGAATTCACCTTTAAGACCTGCAATTTGAACGTAGCCTTAAGAGTTCTTTGAATCAAATCTGAATCAGCGGTTCGAAGTTTTGCAAAAATTCACATTGACATGGAAAACTCTGGTCAGTGCACCAGACATTTATTTTATTTATAAAACCTATGACCAGAAAACTGATATTTATTAACACATGCAGACAGTCAAAGACCAAAACTGGTTAAAATAACGGTGCTCACAAGTTATTTTAAAACTTTCATTTGTTTTATAATTCATGTGTTTGGGACCTCATGATATTCTAAAGCCCAAATATTAGTATTTAAAGAGTAAATAGCTACTCTAGCATATCAAAACTCAGTTCTTTTATATGATCCAAACAGGTGCTGTAGGAAAATGTTTTATTTTCAAGCTAAACGTGAAAAAGCTGCTGACGTGAATCCCCCATTTGTCACAATCTTTCCTCCACACAAAACACAGGAAGTCAAGTTTTACTAACTGATTCATCTTATCTATCATCCCTGAAGTTTGCTTACCGTCAGCTCTTTCGGCAGCTGTTTGGTGATGTTCGTCAGTAACGACATGGTGGGTTTCTTAGCCGTTAGCAGGATGAGCTCTACATTTCTGTCCCCACGAAGCAGCAGGCCTTTGGCCAGGATACCGACCCTCATCACCCCCTTCAGCAGCCGGGCGGCATTCTCAGCACTGACAGGGAGAAAAATATGACAGGACTAAAGATTACAAGACCGGCTTTACAGACATTTTTTAATTTGGTACCTAAACTGAAAAATACAATAAGTTGTGAAGTGATTTGTTAAAGTTGATCAACATTTCGTTCACCGCAGGAAAACATTTGTTTTTAGAGAAACGTATTTAGTCATGTACTGTATAATGCGACCCCCATTTTTAGAACATAAAAAAACTAATCCTCATGTATAATGCCACCCCTAATTTCATACAGATTTCAAGATTTTTCAGCCCTCACAGTTCATCCTGTGGTGGGGAAATAAGATTATTTAGTGGACACACGCCTGTGGGTGTGTTTGTGGAGCAAAAGCTGCTGAGAAGCGGTGTGGGATTCCACATGTCCCTAAAAATAGCCCGCTCCACCAACAGAAGCCGGATGTTAAACAAACAAGATGGGCAGCTTGAAGGAGCAGCTCATCTGGTCCTATTGTGCAAACGTGCAACTGACGTCTACGTCTTCTTTCCATCTCCACAACGCGGTTAAAATACAAAACTATGGCGTGGGGAAAAAAATAAAACAATCGCTGTTCTATTCTACAGCAGGATAAATTATGATGATTTATCCCCCGTTAGTGCTGGGCTGTTTACGGTTGTGCCGAAAACCGGTTTTTATTTTTGTTATGATATGAATTTTCTAAATACCGGCTGCTAATGTTATTGTTGGAGCAGCTTGTGGGGGTAATTGGCAGCGGGTGGTGTTTCAGCAGTTTATATTGACTGAAGTTTAAAAAAAAACATCCTGTTTTCACCATCGCTGAATGTAGTAAACAACTCTTCAGTGATGTGCACGGTTAGATTTAATGCACGGTTAGTTAATATGGAGACGTTAATGCATGGAGACTTTAACGTGCTTCTATTGTGAAAAGCCCGGGGGGGATGTAGTTTTGTAGTGTACCTGAGTTGACTGGTGTGCAAGGTGAGTCGTCCTTTTAAGTTTTATTAACACGCAACGATAGACCAGATAATGATCTTTTCTCAACACTTCACGTTAGGACCTAAATGCATGATTACTGTCTACAACCAGGCAAAGAAGAAAAGACGTACAAGAGGAGGGTAACGATACAGAGGTACAATGAAAGAAAATAAATCAATAAGCAACATTTGTACATTTTATTATCAGCTGAGCTGTGAGGAAAATAAAATACTGTCAAATACAGTGAAACAGGTGTACTTGTTGAAAATACCGTGATATAAAATTTGGGTCATACCGCCTAGCTCTATCCCCCATGACTCATTTCAGTTATATGTAAGAAAATTTATTCCAATTTATTATACACACATAAATATGGTAATCTGCTTAACAAGCTGACAAACTGTGTCAAACTGAAACCATGCTTGATGATAGTGTCTGAACAAAATATCTGCATTTCTACAGTAATTTTCCTCCTTAGTCAGTGAAAAACTGATGTTTATGATATGACTGCAGACAGGAAAAACAAAGCGTCAAACACACAAGCTGTAAATAAATGATAAAAAGTGTCTTAACGGTGAATAGTTTAAGGTTTTAACTAAAACGTGAGAAATGTCAAATAAGTTCACCGTCACAATACATACATTTACATACTTTTTACTGGTTACATTAGTTAGTAATTAATTTGTTTTGTCTTCATAGAAATGTTTTGCTAGCTGCATTTGAATTCAGTGGAAAATCATCATATTTATTCACTTCCTCAGTAGGAATTTGTGTCGTATTTGTGGACATTGAAAAGGGAAGTATAGGTTTAAGTGTTTATTAACGTTTTCCTTCTTTCTTTTTTGACTTCCTCTTATTAATTCTACATTTTTAACTACTTTTCTGATATACAACTTGGAGCATTTTATGTTTCAAATGATAAATGACAATTTTAAGGATGAGTAAATCTCAAAGTAAAAACTACTTTAGGTCAGACTTACTGCTGGATAACTTAATTTTTTTCTTATTCGTGAACATTTTCACTTTGACTATTATTTTACTTGAAACAAGACGCATTTTTCTGATTTATTCGTTACCTTCACCTCTCTTACATCAATATGTAACTGATACTAAATACTATAATGTGATGACATATACACTCACCGGCCTTTTTATTAGGTACACCACGCTAGTAACGGGTTGGACCCCCTTTTGCCTTCAGAACTGCCTCAATTCTTCGTGGCATAGATTCAACAAGGTGCTGGAAGCATTCCTCAGAGATTTTGGTCCATATTGACATGATGGCATCACATAGCTGCCGCAGATTTGTCGGCTGCACATCCATGATGAGAATCTCCCGTTCCACCACATCCCAAAGATGCTCTATTGGATTGAGATCTGGTGACTGTGGAGGCCATTTGAGTACAGTGAACTCATTGTCATGTTCAAGAAACCAGTCTGAGATGATTCCAGCTTTATGACATGGCGCATTATCCTGCTGAAAGTAGCCATCAGATGTTGGGTACATTGTGGTCATAAAAGGATGGACATGGTCAGCAACAATACTCAGGTAGGCTGTGGCGTTGCAACGATGCTCAATTGGTACCAAGGAGCCCAAAGAGTGCCAAGAAAAGATTCCCCACACCATGACACCACCACCACCAGCCTGAACCGTTGATACAAGGCAGGATGGATCCATGCTTTCATGTTGTTGACGCCAAATTCTGACCCTACCATCCGAATGTCGCAGCAGAAATCGAGACTCATCAGACCAGGCAACGTTTTTCCAATCTTCTCTTGTCCAATTTCGATGAGCTTGTGCAAATTGTAGCCTCAGTTTCCTGTTCTTAGCTGAAAGGAGTGGCACCCGGTGTGGTCTTCTGCTGCTGAAGCCCATCTGCCTCAAAGTTCGACATGTGTGTTCAGAGATGCTCTTCTGCCTACCTCGGTTGTAACGGGCGGTTATTTGAGTCACTGTTGCCTTTCTATCAGCTCGAACCAGTCTGCCCATTCTCCTCTGACCTCTGGCATCAACAAGGCATTTCCGCCCACAGGACTGCCGCTCACTGGATGTTTTTTCTTTTTCGGACCATTCTCTGTAAACCCTAGAGATGGTTGTGCGTGAAAATCCCAGTAGATCAGCAGTTTCTGAAATACTCAGACCAGCCCTTCTGGCACCAACAACCATGCCACGTTCAAAGGCACTCAAATCACCTTTCTTCCCCATACTGATGCTCGGTTTGAACTGCAGGAGATTGTCTTGACCATGTCTACATGCCTAAATGCACTGAGTTGCCGCCATGTGATTGGCTGATTAGAAATTAAGTGTTAACGAGCAGTTGGACAGGTGTACCTAATAAAGTGGCCGGTGAGTGTATATGCTAACATAAAAACCTACATTACCATAAGTCTATGACAAAAAATAACCAAGTAATATTGTTAGTCACATCAATCATCACTCGCCTCTTTTCACCCCCTTCTTGAGTAGCATCAGGCCTTCCAGCTGTAGTCTCCTGCTCCAGCAGGGAGTCTGACACCAGCTTCAGAGCTCTTTCGGAGTGGGAGACGATCCTCTGAACAGCCTGGAGCTCCTCTTCCACGGGGTAAATGGTGGAATGTTTGGCCATGATGTGCCGATCGTCAGCAGAGTCCGGGCGGCGGACACAATTCTTAAAGCAGACGTGAGGGGGCCGGGGGTGAGATTTGATTTAAAAAATTTTTTTAATATTGCACGTCAAACAAATGGAACGGGAGGAAAAAAAATAATGCTCACCAGTAGAGGGGGTACTGGCATTCCGGGGCGACTCATTAAAGGTGGAGGGGCCAGCCTGCGCCTCTGATCCCCCCAGTACATCTGCTCCTCCTCCATCCTCCTGCGGTACAAGTCATCCTCGTATCGTCTGCAGGACAGAGGAGACGTTTTCATCATTAAGTCATGTGATGCTGTTCACATTTAAGACATTTAATATTTTTTATGATCTGCGTTTCTCAGATTTAACCATAACTTGTGAAAAGGATATAAGTGACGTCAAACTTAAGTGTGAGTCAGTTTCAGCACTTCCCTTTTACTGGTGCGATATGTGTGGGTGCACCTTGTCTTTTGCGAAAAACAACCAAAAAAAGAAAAAAAAACCTTACACTTGGACGTCAAAAGGGGCCAAATTTAGGTCTGTGATTAAGAGCTGGGTCTGACCTCAACTCCATGTGCCAGTGCTGCTCATCGTCCCTCTGTCTCTTCAGCACAGCCTTCTGTTTCTGCTTCTTCAGCTTGTTCTCCTGAATCTTTTTAGCACGATTGCTGGGTTTAATCTCCACAGGAAGCTCGGGGTTTACTTTTTTCTGCGGGAAAACGGAGAAGACCCCAAACATATGAGAACAGCTCAACCTGCAGAGAGCAATCTCAAGAAATCTTTTACAGCTTAAACCATGCTTTTACCTTGTACTGCAGTCTGTGCCTTCGCCCCTTCAGGTGCATGTCTTTAGCGTTTGGATCATTGAAACTGCACTCACACAGTTTACAGTGAAATCTTATCACTTTTCCGTCCTCGTTACGCACCTGAAAAAGGACAGACGTTTCAAGTGAAAACAAATTTAAACAGTCTTGTAAAAACTAAAGAACTCCATCTATCAACTCCAGGGTTTTTACACTTCAAAAGAAATAAAAAGACCTGCCGTAGGAAAAAAAAAGATAAAAGTTTATTTTGCTGATGTCCTGATGCATCTCAGTAATCCAGGTAGAAAAAAATCAAAAAGAAAAATAAGTAGGTCCTCTGGACGGGTTCTTCTTTAGTGAAACGTTTCGTCTCTCGACCAAGAGACTTCTTCAGTCTTCACTGACACTCGTCAGACTGAAGAAGCCTCTTGGACGAGAGATGAAACGTTTCACTAAAGAAGAACCCATCCAGTGGACCTACTTATTTTTTCTTTTTGATTTATTTTGTTGTATTTCTCCTAAAGATGAGACAGAAGTGGCAGAATCTTTCTGACCTCAGATTTTCAGATTTGAACACAGCTCATCAATCTGACATAATAGACTGTTGCTCACACAACTTCATATTTGACGTAAATGTGCAGAGTTTAGTGACTCAGTGACCACAAAGTGTATAAATAAATAAGCCCTTCACCAGCCTTCTTAGTTTTTATCAGATGTTTGTGCTCTTGTGGTTTGTTCAAATGCAACTTCTCTATTTTTAACTTTCCAAGTAGCATCTTTTTGTTTTACTGATCACAAGATAAACTATTTTTTTGTGCTACTAGAGAATAGGGTTGGGTACCTAAACTCGATTCCAGTATGGCACCGGGGTGAACATCAACGGTAGTACACAGACTGAAACACAACTCGAACTTTGGTGCTTTTTTTCGGTACCTCAAAGAAAGCTGTTAATTTGCGCCCTCTGGTGTTTACTGTTAACAGTGACAGCCTCGGCCCACAATCTCCACGGACTCTCTGGTACGTGGTTCGACTCGGCTCGGTCTTAGCCCAATGTGTCTCTCCAAGTGCGCTCCACAGCCGCCCTGTCTCAGAACCTCCTCTCTGGTGGTTCGGGTAGGAGTACAGCACGCTTACGATTTTAACATCAGCAGAATTCTGCCCGTGGATTAACTCTTGGATTGACTGACAGCAAATTTCCTCCTGGAGAGCCGATTTTGTTTAGGAATACGAGCGCGCTGCATGATATGACAACATGGTGAAATAAAACTGCCTTGAACTCGTAAACACTTCCTGGAGAGAGGTGAAGGAGACGAAGCTGAGCAGATCACGGGAGGTTTCCAACAAACTGGCCGCCCACAGTTACTCAAGCACTTAGCTATAAACAGCACCGTGAAAA